TAATTCTTTGAGTCGTTTACAATAATAACACACATAGATCTAGTAGCGTACAAGCTTGACCTACTACCCAAAAGTCGAATTCATCCCACCTTCCATATATCAATGTTGCATGCTTACAAAGGACCAACTATTGACAAGTTTGAGCTAATGTTACCAATACACAATTGTGCAAGTGAAAAAAAAATTTTTCAAAGCACAGATGAAAAATCTCATAAACCATGAGGACTAAAGCAACCATATTAATAAACCCATGATAAATCATTTTGTAATAATTTTTTTTCAAACTGTACATTATATTTATATTTATATACTACTTCATTGATTTACACACAAATATATAACAAATAACCGTATTATGTTTGTGTTACATGCATACTAATGTTTTTTTCTAAAGATATTTGGTGAGATCTATTTTGTACATTAAATATAAAATTTAAAAAGGTCACAATTCAATTTCCTTCACATGACATTTATATTTATTTAAGGATTGTCAATTTATTATTAAAAATATTAGTTAAAAGTTTATAAAACAATATAATATAATAATAATAATAATAATAATAATAATAATAATAATAATAATAATAATAATAATAATAATAATAATAATAATAATAATAATAATAATAATAATAATAATAATAGTAATAATAATAATTTAAGAAATTCCACCTATATATCTATAGATAAATCTAATGTAATTAATCTAAACTTAAATCCAAATATTAATAAACACGAATCTATTACTAGGACACAATTACAAATGATATTCTATTGTTAATTTCATATCAAATATTTGCCACACATCATTTTGTAAATTAATTTAAAAATAGTATTTCTTCAAAATAAATGGAGCAACAAATTTATTATTTTATAAAAAAAAATTGTAAGCAATAACTAAATATAGATGAATCGTAAAACAATTCATATCTTAATCAAAAGAACATTCTTTTAAACACATTATAAACTAGAGAGGGTTATAATCTTAATACAAAAGATATAAATTATCACAAAATAACTAGTTAAATATTACTGTTTGTCAAAAAAAATTTATTGTATTTATAAAATAAATGTTCACTGTCTAAATAATGTCGTATGAAACACATATCACCATACTAACTTTAGAAATACACAAATAAGTCATAATTTAAATTATTTTGTCAATAATATTTTAACTATTATAGTCACATTAAATTGATTAATAAATTGATAGAATGTATAGATCTTTTTAAATCCGTTAAGAGCTAAGAGATTAAATCTCCTAAATAAAATACTTAAACTTTCAATTATAATAAGTTATAAATATTAAAGGAGCTATAGTTTCATTAAATTTTTATACATAATAATTCACTAATAAATAATAAAATTTATTAAAAAATAAATTTATAATTTAACAAAAATATTGAGATGTTACAAGAGGCGTTGTTCTTCATTTAACGCTCGTGATCATTCATCCAATTATGTATCAAAGGTGTTAATCGTCCGAAGAGATAATCATTCTATCACTGATCATACATCATTCATAAGGATAGACTAAAAGGAAATTTATGTTTTCTGCTGCATTCTGTATCACGATTTTCCTTCACTCAGTGCTTAACTTGTCAATCAGTGAAGTACTCAATTTTGTCATCTAATGGTTTGCTTCAACCTCTCGAGCTTCCAAAGCGCGGATGCGAAGATGTGGCTATTGATTTCATTATGGGATTTTGCCCATTTCTTATGGTAATACAATAATTTTAGGGTGGTTGATCGCTTCACCAAGTAGGTTCATCTTGGTGCCCTTCTTATGCACTACATGACAACCAAGCGACATAATTATTTGCTAGTATGGTGATCAAGTTACATGGAGTGCCACACACAATTGTATTCAATCGTAACCTAATATTCACAAGTTAATTCTGGATGAATTTTTTCATCTCATGGGCTCAAAATTGAAAATGAGTTCACCGTATCATCCACAAATCGATGGACAAACATAGGTTACCAAACATTATGTGGAGTAGTGTTTAAGGGCGTTTGCTGTATATTATCCTAAGAAATAGTGAAGGTTCTTTGCTTGGGCAGAGTACCACTATAACCAAGAGTGACAAAACGGGTCTAACCCGCCGGGTTGACCCTTTTGACTGTCATTTTTAATAGACTGGGCTGAGGTTTTCGACTCGATACTTTAAGTTGGTCTGTCCCACCTAACCCACTTTAAAAAGCGGGCTGAGACAGAGCAGGGCAGGTTTCGCCCGCGGGCTTTTTGTTAAATCTTTAGGTTTTTTTACTTAGAATTAAAATAACTTTAACTATAAAAACAACACTTTTCTCTTAAGATTATACTAATTGAATTGTATTATAAATTATTATATAGACAAATTGAATTATAATTTTAATGTTCTTTCCATAACTTTCTAATACATGTGATAATTGGAAAAATTTGAAATAAAAGAATAATTGTATGACATGCAGAATTATTAAGTTGTCAATGCATTAGCTTAAATGTTTTCTTTAGAAATAGATGTTGATTTTAAGAAAATGAATGATTTGATTAGTGTATACGTGTGATAAATTTAATATTTAACTATTAAGGAATCAGTCAATATATAAGTTTATATTATGTAAACAATGAGAAAGTCTGATGTTAATATTTTATGCACTACTATTTTATGCATTGCGATGTTTTATGCAGTGTAATTCTTATCATTATTGGTTTTGTGTAATTGTTATTATTGCTATTAAAAAAATTTCTTTGTCGACCTCTTAGGTAATAATTACAATTTTTCTAAATTATGTAATAAATAAAATTATAAAATAAAAAAAATTTGGTGGACCGACCCGCCAACCCGCCAACTTGTTAGTAAACGGGACGATCTTGACTTTTGAGTTCGAACGTCTAAGTTAGTCCGTCCCGCCCCGCCCCACTTTTGGACGGGTTTAAACGGGACGGGCCGCCCGCTTTGCCACCCCTAACTATAACACAAGTCATCATTCCACAATTAACATGACCCACTTACAAGTGTCTATGGAAGACCACCTTCAACAATTCCAACCTATGTACGAGGACAATCTATAATTCAAGTAGTAGAGAATGATTTGTTGAAATGAGAGGAAATTCTACAGCATCTAAAGCAGAATTTACTAAAGGCTCAACATCTCACGGTGCAACAAACTAATAAAAGGCGCTTTGACATTCAATTCAAAGAAGGAGACCTGATCCTTATTAAGTTACAACCACATCGTCAATCCACACCAACTGCTCGACTGAATTACAAGATCTCGTGTTAATTCTTTGAGTCGTTTACAATAATAACACACATAGATCTAGTAGCATACAAGCTTGAGCTACTACCCCAAAGTCAAATTCATCCCACCTTCCATGTATCAATGTTGTATGCTTACAAAGGACCAACTATGACAAGTTTAAGCTAATGTTACCAATACACAATTGTGCAAGTGAATTTTTTTTCCAAAGCACAGGTGAAAAATCTCATAAACCATGAGGACTAAAGCAGCCATATTAATAAACCCATGATAAACGATTTTGTAATAATTCTTTTTCAAACTATACATTATATTTATATTTATATTACTTCATTGATTTACACACAAATATATAACAAAGAATAACCGTATTATGTTTGTGTTACATGCATACTAATGTTTTTTTTCTAATGTTTTTTTTTCTAAAGATATTTGGTGAGATCTATTTTGTACATTAAATACAAAATTTAAAAAGGTCACAATTCAAGTTCCTTCACATGACATTTATATTTATTTTAGGATTGTCAATTTATTATTAAAAATATTAATTAAAAGTTTATAAAACAATATTATAATAATAATAATAATAATAATAATAATAATAATAATAATAATAATAATAATAATTTAAGAAATTCCACCTATATATCTATAGATAAATTTAATGTAATTAATCTAAACTTAAATTCAAATATTAATAAACACGAATCTATTACTAGGACACAATTACAAATGATATTCTATTGTTAATTTCATATCAAATATTTGCCACACATCATTTTGTAAATTAATTTAAAAATAGTATTTCTTCAAAATAAATGGAGCAACAAATTTATTATTTAAAATTGGAAATTCAAATAAAAATTATAAATATGGCCCATAAATAGAAAATAAAAATAAAAATTTATATATCATATAAAAATGAATCTTTTGTTAGAAAACAATTATAAATAAGACTCAATTATTAATTTTATATTAAGGCCTGTCACATGTCATTCATAAATTAATCTAAAACTAATATTCTTTAGAATATAATGAAAGAAAAACTTTATTAAGTCAATCATTTACTTCTAAAAAGTCAAATAGAAAGTTAACAGTGTTGTATAAATAAAATATAAATAAGACAACAAAAAAATTTGTCATCATATAATTACAAATGACACTATTATTAATTTTATATTAAATTCTTGGTACATTTTATTTTATACATTAATTTAAAATTAATAGACGAGTAGAATTGCTCAAATTGAATTAAATAAAAATAATTAATCTATAGTTAATTTCCGGCGATATTATTTACTTATATTTATGTATAAATATAACAAATTATTGATATTTTTTTGAAATTATTTATTGATATTTATAATTCAGTAATTTTATAAAAATAATTTAAAACCAATATTTTTTCTAAATAAGATGGAAGAAAAAAAAGTTAATTTTAAAAATTCAAATAACTTGTAAAATGACGTGTCAATCATTTTGAAGGAAAAAAAAAAGAAAAATTATAAGCACTACACGTTGAGAACGGAAAGTGATTGATTACCTTCAATTTCACGGTTTCTGTTGAGTGTTTTGTTATTAACCACCACTACTGCATTTCTTCATCATTTTGGTTCATATCTATCTTATATCGAATCACAGTTAACACGTTTTTGATGTAAAACCAAAAAAGGAAAATAATAAATTCTGCATTTAATATTTTTTAACCTTTTTCATATTTTGAATCTTGAAAGCGAAAGAGTGAAAACAAAAAAATGAAACAATTACACAAACAACACAGCTTGAATCACAGACGAGAAGAAGAAATGGGAAGCGGACAAGGTGAAACTCCACCGTACTCCCCCAAAGGGCAGAAGCACACACGATCGCTCCCTAGATCGATCAACTACCTCTTGCGTGAACAGCGTCTTCTCTTCATTCTGGTTGGGATTTTGATCGGTTCGACGTTTTTCATCATTCAGCCGACGCTTTCGCGGATAGGTCCGCCGGAGGGGCAGTCGTTTCTGCCTAGATCTGGCGGATTGGTTCGGTTTAATGCCGGCGGTGATAATGGGAGAGTGGGACGGATTCCGGTGGGGATTGGTGGTCGGAGGTTGAGAGTGGTGGTTACTGGTGGTGCGGGATTTGTGGGAAGTCATTTGGTGGATAAGTTGATTGGGAGAGGGAATGATGTTATTGTGATTGATAATTTTTTTACTGGGAGGAAGGAGAATTTGGTGCATTTGTTTGGGAACCCTAGGTTTGAGTTGATTCGCCATGATGTTGTTGAACCGATTTTGTTGGAGGTTGATCAGATCTATCATCTTGCTTGTCCTGCGTCGCCGGTTCATTACAAGTACAATCCTGTCAAGACAATCATATCCTTTTTGACTTTATTCTTTTATGATTATGATGCCATTTTCATTTTCCCAAGAATTTATCCAAACATAACTCACTTTCTTCAATTCACTTTTTGTCTCAATCACTTCACTCATAATTAATTTTTTCAGCGCTGAATTTAGACTAAATCACTTAATGGTGTGGTTTGATTTTTATTGTGGTTGTGTTTTGGGATCCTTGACTTTATGTCATCGATGATTTACAAGACAAATGTTATGGGTACACTTAATATGTTGGGGCTTGCAAAGAGAATTGGGGCTAGGTTTCTTCTAACTAGTACTAGTGAGGTATATGGAGATCCTCTGGAGCATCCTCAAAAAGAGACTTACTGGGGGAATGTTAATCCAATTGGTGAGTGAGTTTATAAACCCATGTCTTGTTGAGAAATTATATCTTATTTTATTGGTGGCTAAATCGTTATGTTGAAATTTTAGGTGAGAGGAGTTGTTATGATGAAGGAAAGCGAACTGCAGAGACACTGACCATGGATTATCATCGTGGTGCTGGTGTTGAGGTAACTTACAAATCACGGGTGTTTGTTTTATCAAAGCTTGTTTTGGATTTCATAGTTTTTTTGTGTAACTTTGTTTATATAACATAAAAAATATCAACCGATTACATGTGTTTCTGTTCCATTTCTCCTTGCTCAATATTTGTTAACTACTTGATTTTTACTTGTCAGCTAATTATAATATCCTTAGCTTTTTAGACTGTTTATTCGACGATGATATACAAACAGATTGTAGTTTTTGAGCTTATCAATTTTGTCTTTCATTGGGGTTTGCTGAACACATTAAGCTTTAGCTATATATCTACAATTGGTGTAACCGTGAATTCACTGTCTGCTTACAATTTTTTCAATCTCCCCGATAACTTTCCCGAAGTTTAACTATATAAGCAAAGAATAGGTCAGGATTGAAATTGAATCATATGTTTATTCCTCTTGTGCACCCAACATCTGTTTTTGAAGTTCAATGCTTGACAAATTTTTGTTACAGAAAAAAAGTAATATAGTATAAATCAACATAAATGGCCATAAAAAATAATCAACATACATGAATTTTAGATTACTAATGATAAGTTCTTCAAATCACATGTTATTGGACTGATCCAGTTAGCTGGTTTTTAGGTCCGCATTGCTCGAATTTTTAACACCTATGGACCCCGCATGTGTTTAGATGATGGACGCGTTGTGAGCAATTTCGTTGCACAGGTTTGACTCCCTTTCATTATTTCTTTGTTTTTTCTTTAAATTACAATGGGAGAGGTTTTTGTGTTCTTATGCTGTTTTTTTTCATGTCTGCAGGCTATTCGCAAACAGCCATTGACTGTATACGGTGATGGGAAGCAAACTAGAAGTTTCCAATTTGTCTCTGATTTGGTGTGTAGCAAATATGTTTTTATGTTTTAAGATATGAATTGCATTCAACATATTTTGCTAATTATCATCTGAACTTGGACAAACCATCTTAAGCTCATCAGCATACAAAAGTTAGTGGTTGGTATTAAATGTTAATCAAGGTCTAGATAGTTGGTGTTGAAAACTGTATGTTGAAATATGTAATTACAGTCTACATGTTTTTCTAAAACACTCATCTAGTGCGTGTAGCATGATTTTCTTATCAGAACTTTTTCTTGAGTGAACTCCCCAATATCGTTCACATGGAAATGAATTTTTCAAAGAGTAACTGAGAGAATACATCAAGCAGAGAGAAAAAGCTGCTTTGAAACATGAATCAGAATATCAATCTTTGCTTGTAATTCATTAAGCTGTTGTATGAATCCAGTTTTCTACTACTGTTTATTTGAATGATAATTTTTAGAATTAGATTAGTTCGAATCACATTATGTATATTTTATAATTTGATTGTTAATTTTTAGAATTGGATTAATTACACAATGGTGACCTAAATGCATTATCATCCAATTTGCAGGTTAATGGGCTGGCATCTTTGATGGATGGTGAACATGTGGGACCTTTCAACCTAGGTAACCCAGGAGAATTCACTATGTTAGAGCTTGCTCAGGTACCTAGTCTTATTTGTCAGTTTCACTCTCATTTATTCCTTATGATAAGGTCACCGTCATATCATACAGTGACATGCTTATTTTATTCATTGTTTAATCTATGTACCAAACATATAGTATATTTGTTGTATCTTCTATAGTATGGGAGTAAATAAATGATTGAGATCGAAGTTACCGTTTTATTTTATGAACTTCGTGTTATTATGGTTAAAAAAAAACATGCAGGTTGTGAAAGAAACAATAGATTCAAGTGCTACAATAGAGTACAAACCAAATACTGCTGATGATCCACATATGAGGAAACCAGATATTAGCAAAGCAAAGGAACTGCTAAACTGGGAGCCAAAAATCCCACTGAGGGAAGGTTTGCCTCTTATGGTTAGTGATTTCCGGAATCGGATTTTGAACGAAGATGAAGGTAAAGGAATGAAATAAACGTAGTCGCTAGTCATCTGTGTATAGGGAGAACTGCATATCTCCCCTTCATTTTTCCTAGTCTCTTGAATGGTCAACATCAACAGAAAGTCCTGGTAATAGGTCATATTTGTAAGAAGTGTTTACTGGCCTTTTACTCATTTGTGTCAGCTTAGCATAAAAATGAGTAATTGTTAATTTTTGATAAAATTCTTTTCAGCAGTTTTCTTGTCTATTGTATTGTTAGAAGTTGTAATATCCAATATTTGGATTTTAGTATTATGAGAATGAAAGCTTATTTGAAGAAATTTGTAAAACTTGAATTTTTCTGATGAGAATTCTTTGATTTTCGTCTTAAAGGGGGAAGGGAGCTTGGCCATTGGGAGGGTTGAATTGAATATAACAATTTTCAAGGTTGCACTAACTGACCAACCGAGTTGTTAATTAGTTACTACTACTATAAGATTTGAGATGGTAAATAATTAAAGGAAAATGCTAAGGGCACATGTTAAAATTACATTCACCTATTTTAAATTCTAGTTAAATGTGACATACCTCGTCTCTAGTTTTTAATTGTACAATCTCATGGAAGCCACACGTACATTTTGAGAAGAAATTGTGACTTCTTTCGGGTGTTTGGATCATAAAAGGAAGTGGGAGAAAAGAAAATAGAAGGAAAGAAAAATAATAAAAAATAGAAAATGAAATGTAAAAGAATTATTAGGGAGAAAAGAAAATAAAAGGAAAGAAAAATAATGAAAAAAGAGAATGAAATGTAAAATAATTATTTAGTTCTTTAATATAAAAGAAAAATAAACTATGTATATTTACACAATGCATAGATAACCTTAATATTTCCTTAATTTTATCTACTTTTAATATAATAAAATAATATATTATCAAAATTATCTAAATCTAATCACTAAATTCAGTTAATATTTACATTTTGATTTGATTTTAGATTATTGAATAACTAATCTATTTAGTCTATATATTGTTCAATTAAAAGAAATTTTTCATAGCTAATAATTTATTTATTTTTCCAATACATCGTTTCCCTCCATTCTCAAACTTTTTAACTTCCAATATACATCCTACACCTCATTCTCTCTCAATTTACGTTAAAATTAAACCTATTTATTCCATTCTTTTAAACATTTTCTCAATTCAACATATTTATTTGTTGGTCGATAACTGTATTTTTTGTTTAAATGTAAGCTTTCTTATTTCAAAATACGCTTAATTTACATCTACTATCTCTATTTCCATCATTAAATTTCACAAATCAAATTTTAAAGAGGTAGATTGATTTGAGAAATTTATGCAATATTTACAAAATTTGACAGTTTCTATAGTATTTTGAAATCCCATATATATTTTCTGATTTCTAAATAAGTTTAATCTTATCGATACCTCTATTTTTATAGCTTAATTTCACAAATCAAGTTTTAAAATGGTAGATTGATTTTAGAAATTTCTGCAATTTTTTTCTAATTTTTCCAATTTTAATTATCGTATTTTGTGTTCGCATATAAACTTTTTAAATATACTTAATGTAATCGACACCTCTATTTCCATCATTAAATAGATGTAATCAAGCTTTAAAAAGGTAGATTTAGTTGGAATTTTTCTACAATTTTTACTAATTTTTTTAAATTACAATTTTACTTATTAAGTAATTTTGGACGCCATCATAAATATCAATAATTTAAAGGCGACATGTCGCTTTGCTAAATTTTACAGCTCTTTTTTTAATTAAAATTGTGAATGCTTTCAATATCTATTTCAATTGAGTTCCCTAACATTTATTCTATGTCTATTTTATTCTTTTGTTAGAATGACTTTTGTTCTATAATTTTCTAAAATCTATTGCATCGTATGTCTATCTTTATGTAGTTTTTTTAGGTTTATTCAAATTGAAGACAGAGATTTAAAGTATTGTTTTTGACAAGAAATATAGTGTAATGGACAGGGGATTTAAAGTACTGATTTAAAGTACTCTTCCTAATAAGGTATGAATGTATTACACAACCTTATTCTAAGCGCACAATTAACTCAAAGTTTGGGATTACATTTTATATGATGGTTTGTTTTGAACAATGGTTATTGGTTGTGTTGTTATTGCAATGGTTCATAGAGCTCTACAAAAAGTGCCTTACTTTGATATTAGCTGATTTGTTTATATTTCTGTATAGTTTTTTAAAATTTTAAAAATTAACATGGAGAGGGATATAGTGATTGTTATAGTAATTTTTTTTATTGTAGTTTATATGACTCAGATAAATATTTTAATTTGTAATATAATTAATAGTTTATCTACTATCAATATATAAAAATCAATTACCGACATAATTACATATCAATCCAACTAAAACTTAATTAGAAAGCTAAATTCACGCCCTTAAACATAATTTCCATTTGCAAATCATTGTTATTTAATAAATATTTGAAATATTCAAATATTTTCTTTAGTTAACTCTATTTTGGCTTATCTCAATTACCTAGGGGAAGTCTAAATTTTTTAATTATTTTTAACGAAACGTTTTACATTCCAAAGCAAAGAAATAAAAGAGCACGGACTCTAAACACTTTCAACTTTTCATCTCTATCAGAAAAGTAATATTTTTATTTGGGACAAAAATCAATTGGAAAAAAGAAACTAAATTTTATTCTATCATCAATTTTTAATCTATTAATCATGTTGTTATTCTTCGTTTCCTTTATGTTGTCGCTCTCCTAATTTCAAAGTTAGAATGACGTCTATATCAAACCTAAATCTATGACTGACATGTTAAAATAGAGGTATATGTGACTGACAGGTCAAAATAAAGACATATAGATAAAACAAGTCAAAACCACACCTAATTTCAAACTTCAGATTGCTTCAGATCAATCAGGATAGTGTTCTAGCATACAATAGAGTTTTGCTAGATGTCATCAGGTTATGAAACAATCGGCCGAACAATCATCGAGAGAAAATTAATGAAGTCCTTATCGAATATTTTTTATGTCATAGGAAGGGAAAGGTAAACATCGAGTAAACTTGAGAAGGGTGAAATCAAGGTCAAACGACCGAGAGATAAGGGTAAGGGAGTCGAAGGGGAAGGTATTAGCATCCCTCACGTCTGTGGTACTCCACATGATCCAATCTTGTCGTTCTAATCAAATGGTGTGTTCTAATCTAAAGCTTACGAGCTAAAAGAAAAATGCAAAGAGAGAATGCATGCAAAAGAAAACACAGAGAAAAGAAGGAACATTTACAAGGTTTCGCTTGCCTGGATCCCACGACCAAATACCTACATATCCCTTTTAAGGAATCAGAGCGCCGTAGTTCGGCTAAAATGTTTTCATTTATTTTGTATTTTTTTAATGAAAAATATTAATTTCACTTTCTGCCGCAACTCGACCTTTGGAGACTCACGCGTTGACACATAAATGAATTAACATATTCTACCTGAAAAGGTATTTTCAAAAGAAAAATATATTCGAAGATGGATAATGCTACATTTGTGCTCTAGCAAGTAGACATGGTGCCACCCGACCTTTGGGGATTTATGCATCATATTGCCTAGAGTAAAATTAACAGATTATTTTGAGAGTTTCAAAGAAAGACCCGGAGGAGAAAAACGTGTTTGAATTGGTTGATGTTTTTACCTTGAAAAAGGATTTAAGAGTTGTTAGATGTTTTATGCATTTGTCAAAGAAAAATGTTTTAGTCTTAATCATGCAAACGAGGGAAAAATATCTAAGGAAAACTATCTAGCTCTATCCATAATATTATCATACAATGATGACCCTATAGTTGAGGTTTGAAAGGGAAAACACTACCTAAGTTAGCATATGCATGAATTACGATCCTAATGTCTAACTTGCATCGGAAACGAAACAAGCGTATCTTAAGGGAACATGCAAAGGTGTAAGGAAAAGCACAAGCGTAAGTGCAATCAAACAAATTCGAGTTGAAGCCAAAGAAAAATCGAGTGTGAGCTAATAGCAAACAATAGAGTCCAATGAACCTTAAAGTGGGAGTAAGTGTAACACCCAACATTTAATGTTGTTCCACACTGTTTTTGGTGATAGAACCTCCCCAATTCTTCTTTTACACACGCCACTACCTTGGCATCATAAACACGACTCTAATTCCTCTTAAAAGCATCTTCCTTTAAAAGGACATCTTCATTATAATCATTGTTAATCATCATAAGCTGCATCTCTACGCGCTTCTCCAATACTTTCACATCCTTTTTAATGTCGGACATCTCATTTCTCAACTTATTCGCCAATAACATACGCTTTACCTCGTCTCGAACAACTTCGATAATAACCATTTATGCCTAAAAAGCCTCTAGTTCCATAACCGACTTCAAATGCCCTCCATATAGGAATGCATCTACCATATTTGAAAACACTTTCATAGGATATAATATATTTTTATCTCCTCATAGGTTCAAATGGAAGATCAATCCGAAACCCAAAACACAAGATATGAATTTCCAAAGTTATCCAAAAATGTAAACATCGATGTCATGCAGCGACATACTATTACACACCTTACAATAACATCAGAACAAAATTTCTTTGTACCGGTACCAACACTTACCATTCTTGAAATCGTACTCATCTCCTCGCATTTCCGACTTTGACTCACGATCAAAACATTCCAACAACTTCAACAACTTTTATAATCACTCACAAGGATCCCACGTCAAGGTCTATAACAATCTGTCACTCTATCACCGTTCAAACGTCGACATATTACGCAAGGGCTACCTAAACCGACAACTTCACAGTCCACCAGCAACGCTGAAACATCGCAACTTTCCAAATTCCATCTTCTAAAAATTATCCTTGTTACTTAACAATCACCTTCAGAAACATCAGAGATTTACACTCTACTCGTATATCAACCATTACATTGCTCCTCATCCTTCGAGAAGTAAACATCAACAACATCTGACCATCCTTCCTCAAGACGCTCCAACTTGATTAACAAAAAAATGTTGAATCCATGTCACCTTCTG